GTGCGCATGCGCACATGACGATCAGCTGGCCCTTGTGCATGCGGCAGTGCCAGAAACTGGAACAGCTGGTCTTCTGTTTTCTGGCGCGAGCATGCATGCTGGCCAGCTGATTGGTGCATGCGAGTGCATGGCAGTAACTGGAAGACTGGTTGGCCGGCATGCGCATGCACTTACGGGAAACCAGAAGTCCATTTTCCAGTGCGAGCTTGCCCTCTGGGTAGCTCGTCTTCCTGGTTGCGGCCCATATGAGCACGCATTCTTTTTGGCACTTGGTGCCTCACCCGCATGTATGTGCTCCCTTTCCGGCACTCAGTGCCGAAAAGGTTCGCCATCCCTGTCCTAAGGAATGTATCCCTGTTCTTATAAATGGGAGATGATACAATGGAACAGCATTAAACAAAAGGCAATGTTTCCAAATTTATTTTGGCTGCTACACTTTTTCACTTAAAAATGGAGCCTGGAGAGAAATTCCATGGCTGGCAGATAATAAAATTTAGAACTTAAAATATCTGTCAGGTGTAGTTCCATCACCACCATCCCGCCCCTTTTTTTGGATAGTGTTGTTTTTTTTCCTTCCAAAATTTGGCACTAGTTTGGTAGCCCTTAAGACTTTCAGACAGACTTTATCCTTGTAATACTGGAGTTAAAAGTGTGAAGCTAGCAATAAAGTGACCCATGTGCAAATCCTGGCTAAACAATTAAGATCCCTACTGGGTGACCCTGAACAAACACAATCTTCAGTCTAATCCCAAAAGTGCTTTTTCAAGAGCACAACTGGACATCAGAAAGTCCAGTTGCCTTTTGAAAAAGCACCTTTGGGATACCCGTGACTGAGAATCGCCAGAGACATTCTTCAGTCCAATGTTCAGATCAGGGATGTTGTGAAGAGTTAAGTGCAATGAGAATGATATGCACTGCTCTGGACCACTTGGAGGTAGCTGATGATAAATTAAATATTCACCGGTGTTACTTCTCTATCTACAAATAAAAAAGGAAGAAGCTAAGATTAAACCTTGCACAAGTCCTTTCCTTACTTGAATAACAAATGTCTGCCTGTCTGTCATCGGCATACAAAGGGAAATGATGTAGCAAGCTGTCTTTGTTTTGAACCCGTTCCACTTTAGCCACAGTGAGATGGGTTGTTATTTGCTAAACAGCTGCACTTACGAGTTCTGGGTGAAAAGCTACCAGTGATTTATGCAACCATTTCTGGCTATTGTTTCTTTTATCGCAAGGGTGCAGACCCAGGGTTCCTTCAACATCAGTAAGTGCCAGGCAGGAGTCTTCATGTTGGATTAGCCTCAGCCAAGTGTAGTTGAACTTTTGGTTCTGCACATAGAAAAGAATTGGCAAAGATAAAGATTCAATCAGGGTTTTCTGAATTACAGAGCTGATTCTCTGCCCTGGATCACTCTAAGACGCCCTTTCCAGGGGTTACTCAAATACTGACCAAAGGTTCACTATAAATAATACAATTTCCTTTCTCAGTTATACCAGTGCTAAAGGCACACATAAGATATATTTTCAAAACTTGTGTAACCCATAAATAAAAGACAGACTGACATTTTAATTGTCCCCTTCCCCCCTTTCTACAGACTTACCTTTTTGTTACTTTAAAAATGCATTAAACTATGTTTGGTGCATTAAATTGAAAACGTAGGTTACTCAAACTACGTGTGCATTTATTTTTTTAATTCACTTTAACATGTTAATTTTTATTATAAATGGACTTAACAAGCTGCTTCATTTGTCCCTTCCTTTAATAAAGTTGTTATTGAAAACATAAGTGACTGTTAATTCACCAAAAACAAAGGAAGTTGCATATTCAGAACAGATATAAAAAAGATTAACTTTCAGAGGGAAAATTTTGAAGGGGGAACAATGAGATTCAAAATACACATATTGTTACTTGAAAAATGTTCTGATCATGTTATTTTCTGCATCAGAGATACTATTGCACTCAGCGTTTCTGGTCTTTTAATTTTATTAAAAGTTTGCCTACATTGGGACAAATAGATATGTATTTCTAACTACTTCCGCTTAAAAATAAAATGTTAGAAAACAATTCATAATCCATTTTAAAAAAATTCTTGGGGCAAACACATTAAAAAAAGACTTCTTAAGCCTCTTCTCCATGACATTGCAACTACATCCACCACCCTCCATGTTTTTCCATTTTTTCCCCTTGTGGGTCCTCATGTCTATATCCCTGACAGAACTAATAGGGTATTCCTTTTGTTTGGTGAATGCAGAAAGCTAAGAAGCATGAGCAAACTTGAGAGAGGGCACAATCCTGCTTCGTCTGAATCCAAGGCTACTCAACCAGAATCAGGGTTCTCTTATCTAATCTCACCTTACTCCTATTCCAAGGTGAATCTCCTTAGACTTCTTCAGGAGGGGAGGGGGGATCACAAGCCTGTGTTCAGCTTTCTCCGATCAACCTTGACTGTTGCTTCCTTTTTGCTTCTTGTAGGGAAAGTGCCAGAGTGTTCAAGCAGAGGCCATCAAAAAATCCTATAGGATATATAGGATCTTCAGCCCCTCCCTGAAGAAGGAATTCTGGCTGTAATTCAATTTTGGGCATGAAAGCCAAATGAATCACTGTCACATTGCAATCCCCTTCTGTCAACACCACTGGATAGATCTGACCAGGAAATTAACTCTACAGGAAGGCTAAGAATATTATAATTGGGACTGGCAATAACAGAATCTTCCAAGTCTAATTGGGACGTACTTCCTCCTCCTATTCTTTACAGCTCAGTGATTTAGGGAAGTGTCTGAGTAGCTTCTGAATGTTACCTTGTTCTGCACATAAAAAATGCTTCAGCCCCTTTTGCCTATGTAATGGTTATTGCAGGACTCTATCTATCTGCCTTACCCTGTACCCAGGTTTCTCAATCTTGGCAATTTTAAGATGTAAGTTGGCTGAAGAATTCTGGGAATTGAAGCCCACACATCTTAAAGTTGCCAAGGTTGAGAAACACTGCAGTCTATACCNAAATTGCAATCAGTCACCAGTCAGCAGAAGTAGCCTGCAGTACTGCACTCTAACCACCGCACCACCAAGGCTCATTAACTTTATGATGTTTGTGTTTTCTTACTTTATTTTGAATTAAACTTTATAGCAAACACGAAATAATCTCAAGGAAATATGTTCTATCAAGGTAGAACTGTGTTTTGCCCAAAGGAGGGCAGTAATCTGTGTTAGAGTTCCAAGGCTTCTCTTGTTGTCGCTGATACTTTATAAATGTTTTTAAAGTGTTTTGAAGGAACATGACTATAAGAGCTTGATGGATCATATCCTTCCAAGATAGAAAGGCTGAATATTAAAGAGGACAGAGGTCAGAGTACATGAGATTACGAAGGTGTGACCAATTCAGTTATCAGTGTGCTTCCTTCTCAGAAGACCTAATTCAGGCTACAGTCCTGAACTGTGCTAAATTTCCTCTCTGTCCATGGATTCCTGCCCCACCTCACCCCCGGCCCCAATAGTTTCAAGGGAAACATGGAAGAATAAAACCCACCTCATATCTTTGTCACTGATCACTTCAATGACAGGGCAAGCAACTTTTTTTCTATTTAAATGAATTCTGTCCAGTAGCGGTTCCAACCACCCCACGTTGCATTCCACATGAGAATCTAAGAAGGTCAGGACATCACCTAGAGGAACAAGTAAATTTGCCATTATAACAAGGAACAGGAAAAACGTGGAAAGGTTTACAGTATTTATTGGCCTCTTGGAAAAAAATTGTATTTGCTTCCTACTGTGGATAGATATTTAACGTATAATCCATACATAACAAAGAAGTTTACAGGAGACATTGCTTAAGCAATTTTTTTTCTCAGATTATATCTCTTCATTATTTATTCAAAAACTTCCACCTTGCCACGATATAATGTTGTTTTTTACTGTTCACTTTGTCAAGAATCATAAAAAGATTCCGCACTAAAAAGTAACTTGGAAATGCTAATTCTTAACTGTATCTTAATCATACCATATATTCTTTCCAACACACAATTTTTATATACCACTGGGAAAAATGTCCTTTATGGCATTTTACTAATTGATAAGAATGCCTTCGCTGGTCAGCACCATATTCACCTAATTAGAAATTTCTCTAGAGTAGTGAAATTGTGAGGTGCTTTAAAGCTTCATTAATATATATGACATATGAGTTGGAAAATGTGTTAATAAAGTTTTTCATTTTATTAACAAAGACTTGCAAACACGGCAATGGTGTAATAATAAAAAGGTATACCTACGGAAGGACAAATTTTATTTCATGCAGAACAATCTTGAAGGTGCTTATTAGCTCTATGTGAGCAATAACTGGTCCTATCACCCGCTAATGCCTCCATCACCGCTGCATATCGGGCAAACTCAAAATGGAGTTGTTATATGCATACTAATATACTAATACTGAAGTCTTTTATAATGTAATAGATTCTCTCCTGCCTGGAGGGGATCTCTGCACATAAGCAAGTCCCTTATGGTCATAAAACATATGTCTAGTGGTTACATGACTTGGATGCATAATGGTAGGATTAGCCTCCACAAATTTGCAAGACTTTTATTTTGTTTTTAAACATATAAGGGTGGCTGCTGAACTCCCAGATATGAAAATCAATCACTAACCAATTGATTGATTATTATCTAAAGGGAGGAAGATGAAGAAAGAAGTCAAAGAGCTTCTCCTCCTTTTGATGATTTTTGGTATTACCTGTGAAAATATTCACCTCTCTCAAAATTTACTTTCCCTCAGTGAGTCTGCATAATTAAACCTTATTGACTGTGTAATGTAATTACCTCATTTGCTCTGGCTACAATTAACCCAACCAACTCATTAAAGAAGCATCGGGTTAATTCACATTTCATTTTGATGGTCATCAGCTCTCAAAACTTGGAGATTTTATTAATTTATTTACATTATTCTATTCATGACACGATTTCCAATAGACCAAGCTTGTGTGGAAAAATTATCCAGGAGTCTGAAGGGAAATATGGTGATAGAATGTACAGAAAAATGCATCAAGGATACCAAAATAGAACTCCCCTTTTATGATTCTGTAATCCTTTAATTTGGGGAACACAGATAATTATTTTCATATAAAATAGAAAAAAAAGGAATTTTTCAGAAAGTATTTCTATCACACATCTCCAAAAAACTATTTGAATCCAAAAATCAAAGCAAAAACATATCTTCCTATCCATTCCTATTCATAAAATGTCCAAGAGCTGATAACAGGAACATTCAGAAGAAAAACAATTCCAAATATACAAGTATTCTGAAAATTGATAAAGTATTGGTAAGAGCATTTGTTGCAATAGCTATTAAAGTAGATGAGATCTTCACACTGGAATATGAGCAGAGCTGGCCTCAAAGCCATTAACTTGCTTAACTAAATTTCTATCTTTAGTGAACAGAAAGTTTTAACATTTTAAAACTTTTAAATATATGTGTAACACTTTCTGCTAAAACACCAAGGTACTGCATAGCAAATAAAACAATGTAAAATTCATAAAATACTACAAGAAAAATATTTAAAAATTAAAAACATTATCATTAAATTCTATTAAAAAGGCCAGATTAGAAAGACATTTTGGAGTGCAGGTGGATTAATGCTAAATATGCTGCGCAGCGTAATTTTAAAAATATCTCGATTTCAATAAATTTATTGTATAGTTGTTGGAATACTACATTATGCTATGTTGTATTACAACTTATTTATGGCTTAGCATCAGCATATAAACTCAGCCAGTGATTTTTACACTGTTTAATTCTTAATGTCATGTGTAAACAGCCATTGACGCTAAATCAACAAATTCTTTGTTATCACCTTTATGGTGGGGATACTGGAAGTTGTTTTTAGTTTTATCTGTAACATTAATTTGAAGAATGAATTGGGTTTAATTAAACAATTGAATCCTTTTATGGAGTGGTGTTGATAGTCTCAAGTTCTTAGATTCTTATTTATTCCAAAAGTAGAAAATATATGCATTCTTGGAGCTTACAGGGATGTCCTTGGTATTAACAGTAATTAAGAAGTGTGATGTCATGTCATTGCACCACTTAACAACAGTATTTCTGGCAGTCCCCAGTTACTGTTGTTAAGCTAAGAGTGTGCAGGTTGTTAAGTGAGGACTTCAGATGATTGCAACTTCTGATTTCCTACCAGTTTCCCCACTGACTTTACCTGTGGGAATCCAAAACTGCAAATCATGTCCACCTGACAATGAGACACAGCATCAACTGGCCATCCAGGCCAGTTGTTAAGCATTCAGATCACAATCCTGTGACCGTGGGAAATTGTGCCATATGGAACTCTGAGGACCGGTTTATTTTATTCATTTATTTTAGAAAATTTATATTGCCGCTTACTTGCTCACACCGACTAGGTGGCTTACCAGCAATAAAAACACAAAATAGGAAAATAAAAAAACAAGTACAAGTTGTAGTTGTAAGTACAACTACAGTGCTGTCAGAAGTCAGAACTGTCATTAAATGAGGACTGCCTATATTTTATTGTTATTTTTTTAAGTGTAAACTGCTTAGAATAATGAGAGGATAAAGCAAGCCATGACTTGACACAATGTGCAAACTCACTTGAATACAGTGTGTTAGCATCTGTTCCCAGCTAACCAAACCAAGGAACATACTACTTAGTTCCCTTTATTCTAATGAAATTTAAATGAACAAATTTCATTTAACAAACTAGATTGTTCTAATTATTTCTGTACCTTGTAGGGCAACTGCAATTAATCAATCAATGCCAGTCTGCTTACCTTTGGCAATCTCTGCTCCAGCTAGTCTTGCTCGTATTAAACCATGCCTTTCTTTCAGATGAAGAATACGGACCTTTGAAAACTGTGCCATGTATTTGTCTAATTTGTCCTTCAGGTAAGCTAAATTAGAACAGAGGAGAATCATGTATGTGGACTACAGATTGCACCTATTTCAAACTTAACTAATAAAATGGGTCCTCCGTCCCCAAACACTGCCTCCGATACTTGTAAAGGATATTGAAAAATACCAAAAAGTTATTTTCTACCGAGAGTTATTATAGGGGGTAGAAACTGTATATTACTATTACCTCTTAATCAACTGATTAGACATCACCCTTACTAAGAAGAATTGATCCAGTAAAATGTTCACAAAGATACACACATACAAAATACCTGTGATTTATATCAACTGGTCTATCCAGAAATCTACAATATTCTTAAGCTGAAGAAGCTTCTTGGATGAGAAGCAAAACGTCTCCAAAAAAAACCCCCTAGAAAATCCAGTTGCCACTTGAAATAAAAGCACCTTTGGGACTATAATATTCTTGCAATCTGAAAAAAATAAACATACCACCTTCTACCTGTCAAGCTGCTTAAAAGTGTCATGGTTGACCATTTTAAATAATAAAAATCAAGGCTCCTCTAAATGAAACAAGGATTTGGTTAACAGCTATCTCCAAGTTTGCAGTATTCTTTATGTCCCCACAAAAAGGAAGGAATAAAATAGCACTTTTGGGATGAAGAGGCTGCAGAGAATTATTTTTCTTGAAGAGAAAAAAAAAGGTTAGTTGCCAACCTTTGAAGCAGTCATGAAAATGTTCCTGTCATCAATCAGCTGCTTCTGCCTTACAAAATGGCCCAATTATATTTTCTTGGAAATTATTATTAAAGGAAAAAAGAATTATCTGCACTATCTACAATTGACCAAGTATTGCCAAATCTCCCCCCCCCCAGCCCACCCTATAAGGATTTCACAATCTAAAAGTGTTTTTGTCAAAACATTTATGCAATTTCCCCCTCTCTATAGGTCAAAAGCAAATTCTTTCTACTAGGCTTCAGCGGCATACTTAGCTGATCTTCCATACCTTGCACACAAGCATCCAATGATCCCAAAATATTCTGCATGCTTTTAAGTCAAATGCATATGTATGGCACATTTGTTTCTAAATTGTAAGGGGAGGAAAAAATATGATATAATTTAGGAGAAAGGATGGCAGAATCTGGAGACAGAGTGAAAAGAGGGATCAGACTAGAATCCCTACATAGCCACAAAGAACTAACTGCTGTTGACTCTTATCCAAGCAGGTGCCAATCATTAGTTGAGGAGATTCCTGTGCATAGGCATGAGAAGCAAGTATTGGACCTTCATGGATGGACTTGACATATGGGGGCCCACTGAAGCAAAATAAGGCCATTTTGACATTTCAGAGAAATGTATGGGATGCATTGGAGAACCTCAGTAACTTCTCTCATGATGAAAAAAAAATGTTTTGTTTTCAAACAGTAAATTATCAAATGGCATGTTGATTCTAAGATGCTGACTTACCTCTTGTGCTAAAATCATCCACCAAAATAATTTCTTTAATCGATTCAGGGGGGGACCGGTTGAGGATACTATGGACAGAACGCAGGAGAGTGGACCATACTTCATCAACAAAGCACATGATAACACTAGTGGTGGGAAGGTCATTGTGGACAAGAAGATCTGAACATCTGGAGCAAAAGAAATTAATAGCATAGCATAATATAACATAAATAAACACTAGATACAAGCTTACTGGTAGAAGTGAACATTAACTTATCTAATTGCCATAAAAACTTATTTTACTGATATTT